AATATTAATATCTTACGGAAAATAGGTCTTCTCATTTATCGAAAATTTGTAATTGATTTCGAAAAATCAGTTTGGCTCGCGTATTTAAAATGTGGCACTGGCATATTACAATCAGAAAGTAATAATAATAGTTTTAAATATTGGCCAAAGAAATTAAAAACAATTATACAATCAACAAAAATTATAGACATTTCGGAGACTAGTTTTACAAATGAAACTTATATGAATGTAGTACAAACATATTTACAGCAATTGGACAATCGAAAACAACAATATGAAACAGAAATAGTTGAAATAACAAAAAGTATAACAAATTATCATCGAGTGATACAACCAATAATTGAAAAGTTTATTCTACAACAACTGTATTCATTACATGTTAAAACTATATATAGAACAAAGTTTATCTATAATGAATATGAATATCAGCGATTGCAATCCATTCTCAATGAAACTAAGTTAAATAACGATCAAGTAAATAGAGATTACTTTATCTATGTTCTAATTTTATCATTATCATTTCTATTTAGATACAAGAAATTTCACATTTATGTCATTCAATATACGCATATCAAGAAAGTAAACAAGAATTTACATTATTAGTACATTATATGAGACAAAGCAAAGATTTATTACGAGTCTCAGATACAATTAAAGATATTAAGCTTCCAGCACATTTTAAAATCATGCAGAATCAAGATATTCGTCAACAATTCATTGAATTACATAGAACAAATCTTGATCATTATCAAAACAGAATGAAAAAATCTTTATTGAATCTTGCCAAAATACGTATGAATGAGAAACAAAAGTTATTTGATGATGCACAAACAAATTCACAACAAAAACAACATAATTTGCCTCTCTGTCAACAATTTAATTGGATAGTTAGAGATACAATTCAATTGATTTTATCAAACATTACAGAAAGTTTACGAACCATGTATCAATTGAAAACATTTGAATTATTGGGTAAAATTTCATTGAATTAAATCAATGCAATTTTGACTAAAATTTATACAATATGACAACAATTGACACTACTATTTCATTTCATGTTTACCTTCGGTTTTTTGTCGTTTTTTTTCTTTCAATATTTATTCCTAATTAATTTATCATATACTTTTCAATTGCAGTTTTTTTCTTCACTTTATTAATAGGTTTAAATTTCATTGTAGATAAGATTGATTTTATCATTTATTCTTTTGTATAAAATTCAAACAAAACTCAACCTCAAATAACTCTGAATGTAAGCTAGATTTCATTTTTCATTTATTTGTTTATCATTTTATTATATACAATGTTATAGTGTATAATTAGTTTTCCGAACAAAACGCTGTACAACGATGGATTCAATAAGAGATGATGTGAATCATTTAAAACTAATTTATATGACGGATAACGATAGATACTTATCTTCAGTAAAACAATAGTTTCTTTTTCTTTTAGATTAAAAATCTGTATTACATATTGTTTGAAAGTAATGTCTCGTGTTAGTTCAAATTCAATTTCATGTGCGTCATCATCGAATGATGCTGATGGTGGTGGTGGTGGTGGTGATGAAGAAAAGCAACAGAGTAATGAGAAGGAACATACACCTCAACTTAATCCAACTACAACTATTCAATCAGTACAACCTACAGCAATTTCATGTATTACAAAGATCAATAATCGTCTAGCACTTTTGTCTGCTTATCCATCATTTGATCAAGCATCGGATACAGATCGATATCATCATCTTCTCTTCCCTAATACTCCTCGTATGTTTTATTTTTTGATTAAATTCAATATTTGTTTTCTCATTTGAATCGTAGGTCAACTTTTAACGCCTGAACAAAATTATCTTTATGAAAATTGTGATCATTTTCCATCATCATTTCAATTCATCGATGAAAGTATTAACAGTAATTTTACTTCATTCTTTGTTAAATTATATAGAGATTTGTTCGTTGATCTATCTCGTCGTTTACATATTAATAATGCTATTATTGATTATAACTATCAACGTTTACGAAAATGTTTTGATTTAATGACTCATGAACGTATTGGTTATGGATTACAAAAGAATACATTATCTGATGGTGATATACTGCCTATTCATGAATATGCTGTTGCATTGGAATTTTTTCTACAAATTGATCGTATGTTATTCATTTTTTCCCTTTTTGTTTTACTATTTTTTTTGTGTTTTAGGAAGTATATTCTTCATGAAAACTTGTTCATTTCGTGGTTCTGGGATACATTTATCACCTCATTTTCATGGTATATTTTCTCTTACAGAACCATATGGAAATTATGGTATGACAGCATGTCAAAAATTAAATTGTCATTTCTGTTCTCCACCTTCCGATGTATCGAATCGAATTCAAAAATATCAATCTCCAGTTAAATTCTCTTCTATACAAGAGCATCAATTTCTTAGTGGTTATCGTAGTATTTTAAATTGTCCTGCGGTAAGTTTACAATTATTTAAGAATAACATATAAATAATTCTTTTCCAATAATAATAGACATGT